CAAGTCTTGCATGTCTTCATAAGGCTTGTACACTCCGCGCTCAAGCAAGCTTGCAAACTTGGCATCTCCATACTCATCGAAGGCAGCCTTCGTCCGCTTGGTTCCAAGTGTTGGGTCGGCAGCTCTCTTCTTGTTGAAATCAAGCTTTACAGCACTGAGGAATGACCCCTTCCCTTTGAAGTCGGCTTCATTGAACTGGATCCCCTTCTCATGAAAAGCTGAGAATAGCACTCGGACATACACTGAATGAGTGTTTGTATCCAGAGGATCCCCGGTCTTTGCATTCTTGATATTAAGAGTCCATATCATGAGGGCTTGATTCATCAAGGTCTTCTTGAGGGCGTCCTTTTTACCAGCGACATTCYTGTAGAATAGATAGTCTTCCGTTAATCCATCATTCATAGGAACCTTCTTGGTGAACATCTCAAACATCAGCTTATCTCCAGGATTGTTTTTCGATGGATCTGTAGCATCAAGTATTGTTTGAACAAACCGATTGAGGCATCCTTTCCTCTTCGCTGCATACCCCTTGGTGTTTGATTCAGCTGTTGCATACTCATCACTCCCCAAAGTGTTGAAGGCGTTTGGATTATTAATGAGCTTCTTTGCATACTCAAGCTTTGCCTGCTGTTCGGCGCATCCAACGACAGTGGCAGTGGCAGTGGCAGTGGCAGCTACTGGTGCTTGCGTCGGTGCCAGTTGCGGTGCTGCTGCTTTCTTTTTTGCTGGTGGTGCCTTCTTCTTCTTGTTGTTATTTGCTGAAACGCCGCTGCGTTTCTTCTTGTTCTTGGTCACTGCTGCGCTGTACGGATTTCGGATTGGCGCTTTTCGCTTCTTTTGAGCTGGTGTTCTTGTTGTCTCATCTTGATCAAGAGATACTCTCCTTGGTTTTGGTTTTGTTGTTGTTGCAGCAGCTGTTCCTTCTTCTGGTGCCAACAGGATTGCTGGTGGTGTGGGCGCCTTGTTCTTCTTGAGTGGTTTCTCTTTCGACGCATGTAATCGAGGTTCTTTCTCTTGTTGTTCGTCGGTCCAACTTACCTCTGCACCAGCGACTCCCTTCCAGTATGCTCGTTCCTTTGCTTTTCGCTGCTGCTGAGAAGAAAACAATCTGTTCTTCTTCTGTGCGCTGTACTGTGAAAGTTCTCTCAACATCTCCCTGCTTTCTGGCCACGCGCCGCAGTCGACGCTGTCGTCGTCCGTCTTCTTCCTCTTAGGCGGAGGAGCAGGCTTCTTTGCTGGTGGAGGTGTGGTTGACTTGTTGCTTCTGGTCCTCATGGTCGATACTGTTGCTTTTTTTTGTGTTTTGCTTGTTCCCCCCTGCAAATAGTGTGTTTTTYGATATTTCTACGGTATTTCTACGTGAGCTTTGTACTAGAATAGCAAAAAAGATCAGTTTTCATCRAAAACTGGTCACGATTTTGGTCAGTGCTTTSTACTGTACTTATTATTCAGTACTGAATATCGTGAGCAACCAATATCGTGAGCAACCAAGACAGTTTTTAGTACTAGCTGTTGAGCTYGGCCTGGTTACATGTGGTTACATGCGCGCAMAAGGGAACCAGTGCGCCTGTTTTTGTAACCAGACCCTTTTTTTTTGTAACCAGACTAGCAGTAGTATCGTGTAAAAATATGGGCTCTCCTTAGGAAAGGGTTTGGTTACAATTCTGGTTACAAAATTCAGTCCGCGCGCTTTGTAACCAGTTGAGGTGCATGTACTTAAGCAAAAAAATAACTAGTGTTTGTACGGCGCGAGCTGCTCAACAAATCGTGTACCAGTTTAGTAACCAAGCGCGCGTGGTTACATGTAATTTCGATGCTACTCAACGGTTACAGAACATCCTTGCCTCACACGCCGAGAAAAGATATTTTTCAAGAGATCTAGTCTCCCAAATGTTTCGGCTCGTGACAGAACATTCACATTGATGTCAAGTGTCAGGTGGCAGGTAGGTGGCAGTAGTACTGTAAGGTAGCCTAATTGTATGGGACGGTACGTACGTACGTACGCACGTGTAAAGTAGAGGTACGAAATACTTGAATGAACAGCTCTTAATTCTTACTAGTAGTAGCACTTAATTAGTCTTCTGGAATCTTCTTGGGAAACGATCTGGTTAAGGTTTTCATTTGTCCTCATCTACAAATAAAGCACCTTCGAATAACTCGGAATGCTTGCTGCACAATGTTGAATGTTGATACTCTTTACTAGTCCCATTCGAATAGTACAGTATTTGTTTACACGAAAGAGAAGGGAGTTGTTACTGCTGACTAAAAAGCATTTTATCACTATCGGGAGCTGACAAATGTCTATTTTGCTGAAGGGAAGTGGTGCCGGCTTGAGGAAATTTGCAAGGGAGCATTTGCTGCAACATCTATTTCTACCATGACGATTCCTTCTTCTGTGAAAATCATTGGATAAAGAGCATTTTATAAGTGTAAGAAGCTGAAAAATGTCAATTTTGCTGAAGAGAATTGCGAGCTTCAGGAAATTTGTCAGGAAGCATTCTCTGGAACAATGATTTCTACAATCAGGATACCGTCTTCGGTGAAGCCAATCAGAGTAAGTGCCTTCTCTGGCTGTCCCAAACTTACTCGGGTGGTAGTTGTCCAAAACAATATAGAGGATGGCGCTTTCGATCCGGACGTTGCATGGGAATTTCTTGGGCTCCCGCTGGCTGCCAAGATCCCACGTAGTCCTCCTTAATAGTAGTGGTACGAGTAGTTCCCAAGAGAAAACGAACAGAAATGGAACGAGGTGCCCTTTCAAACTATTCTGTAAGTACTATCCGAATTTTAGAATATTATCTATCGTAATGTAATGGGATACAACTATAGACCATGCTATCGCACTCCGCCACCGAACTCTTGCCGCTAGTATCCCACCGTGTGCAGGCACTCCATGAAGATGTTCACGTCGACCGAGCCCTTGTCGCTGCCCTGCTTGGCCATCTCGGCGACCATGAGGAGCTGCTTGATCCCGATCGGCTTGTGGTGGATGGCCTTGGCGATGCTCCGGGCGTCCTCCTTGCCCATCTTGGCCGCCACCCTCAGAACCTCGCAGACGTCCTTGGGTTCCTCCAGGAGCGGGACGCTCTGGGTGATCCCAAAGGCCTGGACCAGCCCCAGGTCCTTGAGGAGGTGGGGGCTCGAGGTGGTCCCCACCACCATGAGCCGGCGGCCCTCGTCGGGGGGGATCTTCTTGAGGAGGACCAGCAGGGCCTGCAGGACGGCGTTGGAAAAGCGCGGCCCGATGGGAACGTAATCGATGAGCCGCTCGATGTCGTCCAGGAAGATGATCGACAGCGGACTCTTGTAGGAATCCATAAAGGCCTTGTGGATCATCTGGCACTTGCTCACGTCCGAGTAGCCGATCATTTCGTCGGCGGAGACCATCCGCACAAAGGGAAAGCCGGAATCCACCGCCAGCTTGGCGGCGATCGCCGTCTTTCCCGAGGCGGCCGGTCCCTGCAGCAGGACGCTCATAAGCGGCGTGCGATCGGACGTCCGGACCTGCTCGACCAGCCGGCCGAGGGTGGACATCATCTGGTCGAAGGAGGCCCCGTACGGGACGAAACCGTTGCGGTAGTGGGCCTTGAGCTCCTGCGACTTGGCACCGAACTTTGGTTCCACGTCGTTGAGGGCCTGCTGGAAATCCTGGAACTGCAGGACCAGATTCTTCGTGTCGGGGGCCTTTCCGAGGTCCTTGACGTCCAGGCAGCGGGCCAGGGCGAAGGAACTGGCCGCCTTGACGAGTCCCTCCAGCTCGGCACCGGAGAAGTTCTTGGCCTTTTCCGCCAGCTCGGGCAGCCGCTTGACGGCCTCGGGGGTGATGCGCCTCGCGGCCTTCATGTTTTTGGTGTGGATCTGCAGGATCTGGAGGCGGCCCTTGGTGTCCGGCAGGCCGATCTCGACGTGGACCTCGAGACGGCCCGGACGCAGGAGGGCGTCGTCGATCATGTCCTTTCGGTTCGTCATTCCGATGAGCAAAATGTTGTTGAGGGAGTCGACACCGTCGATCTTACTGAGGAGCTGGTTGACGACCGAGTCGGAGACCCCCGTCCCGTCCTTGACGGTCCCACGCTGCTTGCAGATGGCGTCCATCTCGTCCATGATGACGATGTGCAGCATGGAGTTGTCCCCCATCTCCAGCTGTTCCTTTTCGGCGTCGGCAAAGAGCTCTCGGATTTTTTCTTCCGATCCACCGACGAACTTGTTGAGGATCTCCGGCCCGTTGACGATCTTTGGCTCCCTCGCGTTGAGGGCCTTTCCGATCTGCCGGGCAATCAGGGTCTTTCCGCACCCGGGAGGCCCGTAGAGCAGCATGCCCCTGACGTGGTGGATGCCCATCTGCTGGATGATGTGGGCCGGCCAGATGCGGGAGGCAAAGGCCCGCCGAAAGATCTGGTTGAATTCCGCGTCCAGCCCACCGATTCCGAGTTTCTCAAAGTCAAAGTCGCCCGTAAAGAGGTTGGTCGCACCCCCGCCACCCTCGCCCTCGGCGATCTGTTCGCCCGTAAAGGCCAGGGGGGCCCCTCCCTCCTTGCGGGAAAAGACGATCGACGTGGGGGCCAGAAGCTGGCCGACCTTGCAGGAGGCCGCCTTTGATTTTCCCTCCCCTTCCTCGCCGGCGCCCTCTTTCTCTCTCCGTTTCGATTTCTTTCCGACACTGATCGTCGTCAGGTGCTTGACGGTGAGCTCGAGCTTGGTCCCCTCGAAATCCAGGGCCATGGTCCGCTTGGGCTCCATGATCTGCTCCTCAAGCGCCGTCAGCACCGTCGTCGCCAGCCGGTTCGTGTCGATCTCCTTGGGCTTGGCCTTGGGATCTGTCGCCTTTTTCTTGGCCAGAAGATCGACCGCGAGCTCCAGCGTGGCAAGGGCCAGGTTGGAGCTGGGCACGAAGGGATTCAGCTTGACGGTGGTGCTCAGACTCAGGTTCAGAAAGCGGCGCTGCAGGCCGTTGAGGGCCACCTCGTTGTTGGGGACCTGGGGGTGGGGCTCCACCTGGTACGGATGTCCGTTCAGTTCCACCAGCATCGATTTGCCCACGGGAATGTTGTTCTTTTCGTAGTACCCTCCGATGCCGGCGGCATTGTCGGGGGAGATGTAGATGCGGTTGGTGTAGGCCAACCGATTGGAGGGGAGTCCTCCCACTTCGAGCTTCATTTTGCAGCAGCAGCAGTATTCGTCTGTTTGCTTCTTTCTTTCTTTTCTTCTTTGATGCAGTGTGGTTGGGTTTGGGGTTGTTGCGTTGGCTGTTCTGAGTATATTCGACTGAGTTAGAAGTATTTGGACTCCCCTGTGCTATGGCAAATAAAGTCACTTCCTGTATCTGAATTGGCATTACCAGTACAGTGCAGTACAGTACGTACGGAAGTTATAGGTAGAAGTACTACGGTACGTTCGATGGCACGTCTGTCGGTTCGTGGATCTATTTTTTAGCTACAGTAAGAAAACAAAGAAAAGAGGAGGGAGCGGACAACAAATAAACAATAAACCCGCATGACTGTGTTTAACGCCTCCGGCCCCGGACGAAGTGGGCCCTTCGCTTGTTTCGTCTGTTCGAGCCTTGCGCCGCAACACAACGGTCATCCGTCCGGTAAGGCAATAAAATTTGCAGCACGTACGTTGCATTGATGTTCATACGTAGACCGAGTACGTACGAGTACGACTCGGACTTGCCACATTTTCCAAGGACTCGCACTCACTCAATCAAAATCAGCCTCGTTTAACTGTATCGTACCGTACCGTACGGTACCAAGTATGCTTGGTCATGCAGATCGAAGATGATTCCTTCTATTCACGAGTTTATCGGGAGTAACCCGGAACAAATTCGACAACGTCTTACAATACTCGTACCATAAAGTACCTGGTATGGTACCATACTCACCTAAGGACGTACCGTGTACGGTAAAGACAAGCTTTTTTGAAAAACTCTATCATCGAATCCTACCGGTACGAGTAATATTTCTTGAAATCCGCTAAATTAGTTGGCACTCGTACGGTAAATGAATGAAAAACAAAAGATCAATGACCATGGAAATGGTGCAACAGATGTAACAAAAGTCGTCCCACAAAAGCGGCTGTCCCTCGGTGCGAGAAAGAAAAAGAGTAGCAACACAAAATCAGAGAATAAGCGACACMAACCAAACGAAACAGAACAGATTTCTACCGAGTTTCACTTGCCACTAATACAAGTTGCCCATCAGAACAAAGACAGCGGTCTCCCTTACCAACGAACAATTCATAGTATTCGCAATACTACCGCGTGTCACCATTTCAGCTCTGTCGTCCAAAGCGTTCGGTCGCAGATAAGATGCCGCTGCCACCGGAACTGAAGACCGCGCGGGCGGGGATGCCGAGGACTCCCCACACCACCCCGGCGAAAGCCTCCCTGCCCGACGCCAAGGACGTGGCCGCGGCGCACGGGGGATCCTTTCTGTCCAAGTACTTTCTGGTCATCCTCTTTGGCTTTGCGGTCGCCAGCATGGTTGTCAACAGCAACGTTGCCCACTCGGTCCACCAGCTGGAAGGCTCGAACGGCAACAACGCAATGGCGAAACGCCTCAAGGACTTTCGGGTCAGCAGGTCGGAGAAGGCATTTCTCAAGCGGATGGAGATGGAGGAGAAATTTGCGGAGCCGACCTCCCCGGGGTCAAACGTAGGCGGGGCAGGTGAGAATCAGAACGATGGTGAGGGAGGAAACGAGGACAACAACGCCAGCAACGATCACGAAAACAAAGAAAATAACGACGACGACGGGCAAACCTCGAACCCGAACAAAGAAGAGGAGCAAACCTCAAACCCAAAAAAAGAAGAGGAGCAAACCTCAAACCCGAACAAAGAAGAGGAGCAAACCGCAAACCCAAACAAAGAAGAGGAGCAAACCGCAAACCCAGACAAGGCTACCAAAAAACCAAATGTAGACGCAGACGCAGATGCAAAAGAAACAACGGACGGTTATAGCGAGCAGCACAAAATTGCCAACCTGAACTGCGGGGCCTACGGGGGCCCCTCCGATGAGGACGCCGAGGAAATGGTCTACTGGGAAGACATTCCGACCGATGCCCTCCACATGAGCCCCTTTCACGCGGAGCACCCCGAAAGGAAGCAGCAAGAGAACCAACAACCACAGCACGTCTCGCAGTTCTTGACTTTTGAGCCGGACGCGGGGGGATGGAACAACATTCGAATGGCCATGGGTACGTAGTATAGTGCAGTGCAGTGCAGTGCAGTGCGGTGCACTACAGTGAAGCGCGGGAAGTCGCTCCACGGTGTCGAAGTGCTGGACACCAGAGGCATTGCTGCCACATTTTCGTCGAGTTGCTTTTATCTCCGTTTTTTCACAGCATGGATGCCTGTACCGACCGCTTGTGAACCGACTAAATCTGCTTTGTTTGTCGGTTTTGTTCTTGTTGTCTCGTGCCAAACATCTCCTACCCGAAAAAAAAACACAACTATCCTTCTTCAGAGACGGTATTGGCCATGGCCTTTGCCATGGGACGAACCCTCGTTTTGCCACCCCACCAGGGCATGTACCTCATCGACAAGGGCGGAGAGCACCAAAAGAACAAGTTCAGTTTTGACCATTTCTTCCACATGGAAAGGATCAGCGCCGAGCACATCGGGCTCGAAATTATTAGCACCACGGAATTCCTCGAACGGTGCAAAAAGGGAGAAATCGTCGGCGACGACGGCAAGCCCCTCACCCCACCCGGTGGCAGGACGGACTGGGACGGGATCCCCAACTCCGAGCAGAGACCACTCCGCGATTGGATGCGGGAGCAAAGCGGGGAAAACCTCTTGCACTTTGATCCACAGAAGTGCATCGTAGCCTTTCCGGCCACCGACACGGAGGAAGATTCGAACGAGCTGGAATTGCTGCCGGACAAGATCGCCGAGTCGGATGGGGGCTTCCCGAACTACGAAAAGTACATCGGGAAGCCCAACCCCGTCGATGCCCCCGCACTGGAACGCCTGAAGGAAATGAGCGCCGACCGGAAGGCCCTCTGCCTCTACACTCCGGAGCTCCAAAAGAAGCGCTGGCTCCACTTTCCCGTGGGCATGAAAACGAACTACGGGGACGAGTCCCGCCTCTTGGTCCACTTTTACGCCTTTTTGTTCTTCCAGGACTGGAAACAGGACCTTTGGATGAAGCGTTTTGTACGGGACCACGTACGATACATCGACGAGATCCAGTGCGCCGCCGCCCGCGTCGTAACGAAGCTCCGGGAGCGGATCGCGGCCCGGACGGGGCAGACCGACAAACACTCGACGCGTTTCGACACGATCCACGTCCGGCGCGGGGACTTCCAGTTCAAGGACACACGGATCAGCGCCAAGAAGATCCTGATCCAGCTTAAGCGGGTTCTGGATCAGAACACGACGCTGTACATTGCGACCGACGAGCGGGACAAGGCCTTTTTCCAGCCGATCGTCGAGTACTTTGCGGATGTGGCCTTTTTGGACGATTTTGTCGCTTCGGAGCTGAAGCAAGTCAACAGTACGTATTGGTATCGCGAGCAATAGTATAGTGTAGTTTTTGGTTTGGTGTTCTCCTTCTTGCTGTCCATTCGGACTAGAGAGTGCTCTCCCCCTTATCACCAAACCTCTCATTCATTCCATTCCTTCTCAATTTTGTTCCTTCCGTTTCGATCCTCGCATCCAATCAAAACACAGCAAACTATTTCGGCATGATCGACCAGCTGGTGGCGAGCCGCGGGGAGGTCTTCTTTGGCTGCTGGTTCAGCACCTTTACGGGGTACATCAACCGGTTGCGGGGGTACCACGCCGACGACCACGGGATGCCCGGCTACGAAATGGGGATCGTGAACTCGTATTACTATGCGATGCCGGATCGGTTCGACCACATGCGAGAGTTCTGGCCGATCAAGCAGCAATTTTACGCACGGGAATTCCCGGCGAGCTGGAGGCTGATAGACGCCTCTGTAGGAACAACGTGAACACCACGGAATTGAAATTGAACACAATTCATGCTTTGAGTGATTATGTACCGTAGTCTAGCTCTTTTGCTTCAAAAACTTTTCTTCGTTATTATGTGATTATCTTCAAAAGGGATTACGAGGTTTCGTTTTGCCTTCTGTTTAGCGTATCATTTAGGTAATATGGGACAAGGTCAGGCCGGAATGTGTCATCAATCCACGATCATCGTTCTGAAAGGCTCATGGCCATGGTCGATGACGGGACATTTCTTCGAATCGATGCGTTGCTGGTTGTGTAGTGCGAGGATACACAGTTGCCCGTCGTTGCCGGACTTTCATTGCCGCGGCGTGATCGTCGTTTCCGCCGGTCTCGGCGCTAGTTCGCCATACCCGCGGCAGAGGCAGCTACGGCCTTGCTGCTCTCCTCCAGGATGCGTTCCCGGTCCTTGAGTATTCCATAGGCCGACGTGTAGGGATCGTATTCCTGTCCGTTCTTGGCGATGTTTTCGTAGTGCTGTTGCGTGGTCATTTCTCCGTAGCGTTCGTCGGGGGACGTAGTTAGCATCTGTGTGTGCATGTGCATGTGCACGTGCACGTGTGTTTGTGAAAATATAGGTATAGGTATATTATTTGTGTTGTTGACGCGTTTTGTTTGTTCCACATCCGAGCATTGATCGATGGGGTAGGACATAACGAAAACCGAAAGGCAGAAAACAAGAGTATATCTGTGAGTGTCGAGAAGACACTGCAAAACAAAGAAGGGGCATTCGGCTGCACAAGCACAGCGCCGCGGCAATGGTATTGTGCCATTGCCAGTCCCGTTCGATTCGTTCGGTGGCGCTCGACTTACGTCTTCCATGGCGTAGTAGCGGACGATCCGTGCTAGCTCTGCGGCATCGGCCAGCTTGTCGGACCGAAAGGCGTCGGCCAGCCACTGGAAGGTTCCGACCAAGAAGTGCAGCACCCCGATCGGGACGTACACGAGAACCGGCGGCCGGTCCAGGCCGAGGGCCCCAACCATCGACTCCATCTGGCCCAGCTTGTCGAGCCCGGGAGAGTCCGGCCCGCCAAGGTTCCAGTGGGTGTTGGCGTGGGTGTTGTCCAAGACCTGGTCGATCAGAGCCGACGCCAGGTCGGACTCGCTTATGGGGTTGCAGGCCGCCGTTGCTCCGGCCCCCAGGTCGAAGAGGACAAAGGGACCACCGGCCCGGACGGCTTCCAGCTGGCCCGAAACGGACTTGAAAAAGGCCGTCGGCCGGACGGCAACGTAGCTAAAGGCACCGTTGCTCTCTTCCGCCATTTCCGCCAGCGCGTCCTCCAGCTTCTTCTTGGCGTACTGGAATTGTAGCGCGTGGGGTTCCTCCCGCTCGGCGCTCTTGACGCAGTAGGCACTCAGCAGGACGAACCGCCGGGCTCCGGCGGCCCTCGCGGCCTCCGCGGCACGGAGGCTGGCCAGGTAGTCGACGGCGAAGGATTCCCGGGGGGTCCCGTTCCGCGAGGCCAGGCAGCAGACGACGACGTCGACCGATCCCGGCTCGAAGAGGACGGGGGAGTCTTCCCGGGCTCCGAGCGGAGCTTCGGGGGACGGCGGTTCCATTTTCGAAACGTCGAACCGGTGCACGGTGAGCGGCGGCGGCGGCGAAAGCTCCACTTCTCCCGCGCCGTGGGAGGATGATACGAAGACTTTGTTCGTTGGTTGCTGGTTGCTGACACTGGCATTGTCATTGTCATTGTCATTGACATTGGCACTGACATTGCCCATCAACGAAGCTGCATCAAAGTTCGAGCCCGGGCGGACCACCGCCGTGGTGGGGTATCCCCTCCGGATCGATTCCCGGACCACAGCTTTCCCGATGTATCCGGTGGCTCCCACAACGGCAATCCTCTCCCCGGAGCACGATACCCCGGGAAGGAAGGCCTCTCCTTCGTCTTTGTTGATAGTGGCAAAGCAGGGATTGGGATGAATGCCGTGCCGTACCGCCAATGGGGGGAGTTCGACAAAGGCGAATGTCCCTGGCGTCAGGAAAACAAGCAAGAGCGAGAGGAATCGGAATCGGAACCTCGGCATTGGGGCTGCTGTCTTTCGTTCGATCGATAGATGTTGGTAGTTGGTGGGTCCGTGGGCGGGAATCTGTGCCATAGAAGATGACGAAGAATCCGATACACGGCGCTATGCGAGAAAAAGAAGCTTTTCCGTGCAGTACACTTGGGAAACCACGTGCATGATGCAAGATGCAAGATGCATGATGCGTGATGCGTGATGCGTGACGGAGCAAAAGGATCTTTGCTGGATCGATCGGTTCAAGACTTCTCGCATGCGAAGACCGTTTCTGAGTTAGCACAAGCGGCACCCTGAGACAATTCATTCATTGTCAGCGGTGCGGAAGGGCCTTTGTCACCCTTTGTTCTCGTTCCCTACCGTCAAATTCCGTGTTCCGTGATGGGATGAGAACGCAAGCATAGGGAATCGTCGTGTTGGGGTTTTTCTCGTGATGGTTGCTGAATTGCTGAATTATTTAAAAGATTTGGCTTGTTCTTCTTTTTTGGTTGCGACGGCAATGGTGGTTCTTCCCAGCGTTGCGTGGAAGGAATGCGTCATCGCAACAAGTTTCCAGTCCCAGCTATGGGTTCCGAAAGAGTCACGAATATCCAGGATTGGCTGGCTAACGCAAGTACTTTACTTACTACGGTGCAAAAACTAAGTGATAGCAAAGAAGGTGGAAAAATGAAAAAGAATTTTGAAGTGAATGAACACAACCCCTGGTGGTACCCATTTTTTGTTGGTTCTTGTTTTGCTGACTTGAATGTAGTACACATTACTCTATTTCCTTTTGATATCTCAACATCTTTAATCCTTCTTCTTTTGGAACATTTTGTTCCACCTCCTGCAACAATGTCACCAGCATCCTCCTCTGACACAACAGTCAGAATATTTCTGAAAATCTGGCATGTCTCTGTATTTTCTTTTCTGTCTATCTTTAGTTTTAGGTCTGCAGCTTCTTTGATTACAATTGTGTGGTCTAGCTACTACCTGCAATTTATATTCTTTGAATGTGTTGTTGTTTTGAGAAACTCACCAGAAAATATGCCAATATTTATTGCAGATTTTCTTGTCTCCTGCATTGCTATATGTTGCATAAGCAATATCTTGTTCTGGGAGTTTCTCCCAAGGTTTTACATTTTTCTTGAATTGATCATTTGTACATCATGCTCTTCTTTCACGCCATTTGTGGTTCTTGAATCACCAAGACGCTTCTCCCATGCTACTACATCATGTTTAAAATTGTGGTGGTTGGTTTAAAGTTCAAGAAATGTATTTTTTTCTTTACAGAGATACTAGAAGTCCCCCTTTTTCATCAAGAGTGAGTCTCCCTCCACTGGTTTGAGTTGATTGAAGTCATCCAGAAAGACAACAGGAAGATTAACATACTATCATAGTATCATAGAGTTGGTGGCTAGCAAATCTATGATCCAGTCATAGATTTTGGGCCCTTATTTTTCTGTGTAATGACTACTTTGAGGACTAAAAAACTAAAAACATACTACAAAATGCACGTGCTCAGTACTGCTATCACCAGTACTGGTACACTTTGTTGAATTTTTAATTTTTGAATCCTGTAGTAACCAGCCAAATAGTTTCTTATTTGCATGTGCTGTTGCTGTAGCCCTACTAGTACAAGTCAAGTTTTTAATCTCATGAGTCTTTACATGGTAAAAAGATGAATCCAGTGATATGGGGGGGTAAGGGGGTCAAAGAAGGATTGATCAATATACATATATGAATATCCAGCATTGCCAATGTACTATAATGATTTATTTCATAAGAACAAGTTGAGATACTTGTTCATTGTTTCCAACGGTTTGATGCTAGCAAATGATATCTCATCAACAATGGTGAGAAGATAAGTCTCATTTTCCCATGCATCATCCTGTGTGCTTAATGTGTTGTTTCCTGATTGATGTTAGCTGCTGCTGTTCCAGTCATGTCTATGACAGGAAGCGATCTGTTGGAGAAGTTCACTCCCAATTCTGAAGAAAGCATCTTACAACAATGTTGCACAGAATGAATTACTTTTGATATTTCCTGTACCACCAGCAATTGCTGGATGCTATCATGGTTGATTGGCATTTTGTACATTTATTTGTAGAGGTATAGAAGTCAATAATTGTATACATTTTTGTTGACATGTTAAATTTTTATTGCTTAACAATGTTTGAAAATCATTTGCCTCTCAAGGGGTTACTCATCCCATCCCCAATAATATCCCAATTTGTAACCCACAACAGGAAATGTGCATCATGCAATGCTTATTGTCCTTGTTAACCCATGCATACAATGGCCCAAATGCAGATTTCGATGCATTGACTTTTCCTGATGGCTTCCATCCCAGAAGACCTGAAATTATTGTTACAATTGCTTGCACATAGGCCAGGATGCAGAAGTCAAGTGTTTGCACAATGAATTACAAACTCATTCAACTTGCATCACCATTTCTAGTTATCTTTGGAACAGGTGGATCAACCTCATTAGATGCTGATGCCATGACCCATGATACGTCACAAAAACTATTCGCGACCCGTAGCGAACCCCCCATCGCAACCCCGTCGCATGCC